TTTCTATTAGTAATATTAGTATTTCTTAGAATATTAGTATTTCTTATTTTATTTCATAGCCAATTATGTCCTGAGGCTTTTTTCCCACTCCACTTTTTCAAGCTAGTTTTCACAGTTTTCCTTAATATAGTTAGGTTGGTTGATTTTATGACAGTGAGGATCAAACTTAATACTCAATAGTAATTTGTAACCAAACTAGCCTCAATAAACCTAATCACATGCAGACATATCTGGAAATGATTTTAGTTGGAAAAATGCATTGGAAATGATTTTACTATGAGAATGAATTGGAAAGGATTTTACTATGAAAATTCATTGCAAATGATTATATAATGAAAATGCATTCAAAATGACTTTACTATAAAAATGCATTGCAAATGGTTTTCGCACAAAAATTCATTTCAAATTATTTTAGTATGAAAATGCAATGCAAATGATTTTACTATGAAAATGCATTGCAAATGATATTACTATGAAAATGCATTGCAAATTGTTTTACTATAAAAAAGCATTGCAAATGATTTTACTATGAAAATGCAAATAAATTTAATATAAAAATGTATTGTAAATGTTTTTACTAAGAAAAAGCATTTCAAATGATTTTGCTATGGAAATATATTGTCCATGATTTTACTAGGAAAATGCATCGGAAATAATTTTACTATAAAAATACACTGAAAACAATTTGACATTGGTTTGGTTGATTTTACAATATGTCAACACCTGATGGATTATTTAAATGTCAAATTTTGTATGGGGATTGAACTCGCAACTCAGCAGTAATGGTGAACCAGACTAGCCTAACTAATGATTACTCCATGCTGAAGCACCTTCCAGTTAAGATAATTTATACATTTGAGTGACACCAGTTGTGAATTCAATCCCTATGAACAATACTTGATACAATAACCAATGAATAACAAGAATAATATGACCTCATGCATTTAACCTATTGAACCAAGAGTAATGGTTCATGAGTACAAAGTAATTACATATTCTAACATGTAGGCAAAATAATTGTGTGCATATGAGCAACTTTGTACGAGCCATTTGTTGTTATTCATTGCTAATTTCTTCTTTTACCTAAGCAGTTATGAAATAGAGCAATTGACTCAAATATCAAGAAATAGTATGCTGGCAAGGACTCAGGTCTCAGAGTTCAAGAGTCAAAAAATATTAAACAAAACAGAGTTCTGTTGAAAGCATTCTGAAGGTCTGCAGATGTGACAATTCAGTTTCAGTTCAACCTATGACACATGACATTGTTGAGGTGCCAAACCCAGTAAGTACCCTTCATGGCATTGTTCAGGGAAAAGAAAATTACTTGGTGGCACCCATCTCCTTTCCAAGTAACATGAAACAGGTTGTAGCAGACTGTGGACGTGCATGATTCAATTGTATTTTTCCCGAATTTCAGATTTGTTTATGCTTAGACATATCACGTGTGATGATTAAGTCAGGTTGCTGGATAATGCATGCTTTTATCAAAACATCATCTTTAGATAGATTTCCAACCAAGGCTAAATATATTCTATTTGCCTTCATGTTTGCACAACCATTGACAGCCTCAACAATTTTGTTCACCCAATTTCACTCACAAGGCTTGGATCAACTCATGGCAGAGTTTTCAGGAACTTCCCAATTTAATGACAATTAATGTCTTCCCTACATTGATATTATCAAAAAGTCACCTCCTTGATAAATCAATCATGGTGAGGTTAAAACCTAGGTCTCATGGTTGGAACACTAATGCTCTAAACACTCAGTCATGTGCCAAAATTGGGACATGGCTGAGTGGTTAAAATGTTTGCTTTCTGGCAATGACACCTGGGTTCAAATCTCACCATGTTTGATTTGTCATGGGAGGTGATCTCAGCAAGCAAAACCTTTGGAAGGTGTCTGAAAACCACATCACAAGTTGACCCAAATTGTGAGTAAAATCAGGCAGACAGAACTATTTAAGAACCTTGGATGGTTGAGATAGTGTAGAGTCACAAGTCATTATAACCAAGGGTTTGAGTGTACTGGCCTTGTTCATACTGTTGATCACGCCAGATAATGCATTCTCTCTTCCAGAAACTGTAACTAAGGTCCCCTCAGCAAAGTTGAAGTACAAACCACAAAGGGGTTCTGTGAATGTTGAATAAAAGAACAGATGTGCCTGAGCAGTCGTCTGCAACAGGGATTGGCTACCCCGTCCCCTAGTAAATAAGCATACTCAGATACAAGCAGCCAGCCATTACACATCTGCCAAATCTGAGAAAGATAATGGACTGGTTTTTCATTGCTTTCTCCTGGTTTTTAATTCAGAGTAGTCCTCCTAGATAGACTACTACCCAAATCTATAAAGCCCAATCTGTCTTGCTATTTAACGTATAGCTGGGGAAGAGATGTATTCATGCCTTTCCATATACAAAATTCAACATGAAATAATCACTCAGATGCTGATATATCATAAAATCATCCCAAGTAATCTAAAATTATTGGCAATCCAAGGGTATTAGTATGAAACTACTAAGTAGTGAGTCAGATCCTAATTAATACAAAACAAAATAATAAGCAAAAGCTTGGAGGAAAAATTTACTCTATTATGTGTAATAATTGTCACAAGGAATACATAGGAGAAACCTCAAGGAATTTAAATAAAATATTTTATGAACACAAAAGGGTTCTTTTGCAAAACAACACACTAAATTCATTAGTTGTTCCCGATAATGAGTCTGAATATAATTTTGATTAACAAATGCAGCTCTAAAAGACTTTTTTTACACACACACACACACACACACACACACACACACACACACACATAGATATAACTCACAGCATATCACAGAATAATTACAACTAATACAAAGAATATTATCTGAATAAATAATGAAAAACATTTATAGTATTTCATTTAATACAAAAGAAGAAAAAATAAACAGAACTCTCCACTTTAGGAATTATTAATCTTGTCTATATATTTTCAGAAAATGCATATTCATTGAAAGAATTTCTGGACAACTCAATTCCTTTAGCTATTTTTGTTGTTTTCATAATATTTCAGCCAATCCATTCTACAGCTCTCTTCAGATGAACTAACTATGAAAAGAAAGAGTCTTTTGCTAGATAGGCTGAAATGTGACAACAAAAACAGCAAAACAAATGAGTTCAACTGTCTGAAAAACTTTTTGATTGATATTAGTAAATATGTTTCAAATTATACCTTTATATATTTTTTATATCAGAATAAATAAATAAGTTTTTCCTCTTTATTTTATGTGTATGCAGTATTGAATATATGAAATATTTAGATGAAAAATAATTTTAAAATTCTTGCCCAGTTTTTTTTTCATAATTATTTATTAAAAATTTTATATATTATTTTTGATGTATTAAAAACATTTCTAGTATAATTTTTATATAAGTGGTCATTTTAGTTAAAAAAAAACTGTATAATTATTATCTTCAACAGAAACAAATGAATTTCATCAAGTTATTAATTTTAAGTATATTCTAAATGCTATTTGCATTTCTTAATCCTACTTGATATTTAAAATGGGTTAATCTCTGATTTGTATTTAATCATAATTATCTGCTAACTTTAATTGATTACTCACCATTAAAAAGAAATAATTGAAAAGTATAGAAAAATTTTCAGAACTATTTTGAAAAAATTTTAACGAAATGCGAACATAAAGGCATACTTTTTTGTAATAATATACATTTTAAAGAAAGTGTGTAGGTGGCAAAATTTTCAGCATATATATATATATATATATATATATATATATATATATATGTGTGTGTGGTGTGTGTGTGAGTGAGTGCGTGTGTGTGTGTAAAATGAAGTTTTATCTATATATGCTAGCAGCTGGATTGTTACTGCAGCGATTGGTTAATGCAGAGTTAACTCCCCTTCACTTGCTTATTCAAATGACACCATCTTAACCTGTGGACAGCATATGCCATATGTTTCGGATTTTGTTTTGTCTGTAACGAGTCTGTCATCACACAGACCTCTGTTCATACAACAACTGAGATATTACATTTTTATACACTTATAACTGCTCTGTGATGAAAAATTAACCCTTAAATATAGTAAGAAAGTGGTTTTAAATATTTCCAGATGTTCGGCTTGGTCGTCACGAGTAATAATCCTACACAACAAACAGTTCTTCCTTCTTCCGTCTGGGATTGAGATAAATTTTTAAGTTTTACTTGGATACTTTTTTTTTTTTTTTTAAATTTAATGTGTAGGCGGTCAGAGACAGACAGGGATAAAGAAAGTTAAAAAAAAAAAAAAAAAAAAAAAAGTAAACTTTGCTTTGTTTTTATAAGTCCTCTTTTATTTATTTATTTTTTAATTAAAATTTTATTTAAAAGATGCGATAAACCATCTCTTTAGTTTAGTCTTTATTTTTTACGTGTTTTTTTTTACCGACCATATGGTTTTGCAAAAATTGCAACACACGCACATTTTGATTTTAGTAAGCAAAACAAATAGCATTTTCTCTTGTTAAATTTTAACAAGAGAAAAGGGCACTTGTTTTCATTACGATTTCGGAAACGAACGATCATTTATTTATTTAATTTAAAGATAAACAAATGCGAAAAAGAGCACTGACTACTTACTATATTAAAAAAAAATGTTTTAGAATTTATTTTTATAAGGAAGATCAGTATCATAAAAAAAAATACTAATTTACAAAAGCAGGTGGGCGATCAATGTGTTTGTATTATTGCTTTGTTCTCCACCCCCTTGTAATTGGCTTGCACGTGAAACTTATTTTCTCTAATTCTGTCCATATTGCCATATGTCCATTGTAAAAAGAAAGAGAGAAAAAAAAGGCAGGGGAATGAAAAACGTGCTCACTTGCAGTTCCCGCCGACAGCGAAAGTGAAAGTAGATGATCTAACTTAGAAAAATATATTAATTAAAAGTCGGCATGAAACACAAACAATAACATATGACTATTTTAAAATCACAGACATTGGTACCTAAAACATTTTTTTCAGAAATGGAAGAAAAAAAAAAGAAAAAAAGAGTGGCGTAAAGAAAGTTGATTTCGAAAAAGAAAGTGAAACTGAAACCCGCAAAAAAAAAAAAAAAAAAAAAAAAAAAAAAAACATTTTAGATGTTAAGAAATGCAAGAATTTGGCTTGTTTCATCCAACCGTTAACAAAACTTCTTTTTGTTATTATTCTGCAATTCTTGAAAACTGATCAAATTATTTTTTTAAAAAACGTATTAAATGCATTTGACTTCCTTTTAATTATTTATTTAAATGTTTAGCTTAATGCAAAAAACAATTTTCGTTTTGGTTCAAACTTTTAGTGATCAGTTTCCTATTTTCTAAAAAAAAAAAAAAAGTCTTTTTGAATCAAAATAACTTTTTCCTTTTATTGAAAAAATTTGTGAACTGTATTTATCCCAGTAAATTATACAGCAAAATACTTGCATGTGCTAACATTGCTCAGAAAATTTTCAAACTACTGTAAAGAAATTTAATTTTCAAATATCCCTCACAGATGGAAAATTAAAACAAAATTGCCTATTTGAACCGGCTGTTTCTTTTTAAACATTGTTTACTGACTTAAAAAAAAATAAAATAAAGTGAAAACATTGCAGAAGGTAATTTTATTCTTTTATAATTATATCCATTGTTTTCTTTCAAATTATCTTTTGCAGTGTTTTTGTTTTCATTTCTTTTTAAAGTAAATGAACTATCATCACAAGATTTTAGAAAAATTTACTCAACCACAAATGTTTTGATAAAGAAATTTATTTCAGTCACTTCCGAAAGGATAAAATAAATGTTTCATTTTCCTCAAATAAACTACAGACCCCTTACACTTGCTCCTTGAAATCAAAAAAAAATTGTACAGAAAATGTCAAAATAAATAACTTCTTTTACCTTTTTTGACACTAGGTATCCAAATGTCAAGTCTGAATCATACGTTTATAATTTCCAAGAAGAAAATGAAGGTCTTTAATTTGTACTTTAATTACAAAGAGAAACCAAATAAGACAGTGAAGAATTTAATCTAATTAAGAAGTTATAAAATTAAACCATACCAATGTTGTGCAACTGTTTTCATTTAGAGCACATTTTCAAAATTCAACTCATTTCTCCCTGTTCTGCACACAACTGAACAAAAATACCAATGCACTCCAAAAAATGCTGAGTTATAAAAGAAAAAAGATTCTTTCTAAAAGTTACAATTTATTTCTTGACTTAAAAATAAAAAAAAACAAAACAATAAGCATTATAACATTATTTAAAGGAATGTATATATATACATATATATATATATATATATGTATATATATTTATTATGTATGTATGCATGTATGTATGTATGTATATAAAATGATGAGGCATTAGAATCATAATTTTCAATAGTTTGCCTATGCACTGAAAAATCTATTGCTGTTTTTCTTTTACTTTTAATTAAAGTGAACCCACTTTTCAATTCCATGTGGTAAAAGGACACCATATTTACAGGTATTATTAGTTTGGGAAAAATATATCCCCAAGTAAGTTTGAAGCAGCTGTTCCCTTTAAAAATGCAAAGGCAGTTTGTGAGTGGGTAATATGTGGAAATAACATATATATATGAGTGTACATATTGATAATTTCATAAAACTGAGAAAATATGTATATGCATAGCAAATAATAAAGCAAAAAAAGTTTTTAAAAAATGTCCCTTCTTCTTTTATCAAACTCATAAAGTTAACAGATGCTTTCATTAGCTAAAGATAACACAACAACTTACCTGTGCTGTTAAATCCACTGCAATCCATACTGTGTGAAGATGTATATCCTGATGTAGACTGGTACTGCTGCTGCTGCTGCTGCAGCTGTTGTTGCTAAGAGCTAGCAGCAGTGAGAAGGAAGGAGGGGGAAATAATGCGTGTAGTGAGATGCATATTCAGAGGTCATTTTTTTGCTTTCTTTTTCTCTTTCTTTTCATTCTTTTCTTTCTTTTTAATCTTTTAAACATTTATTTGTTGTAAAAACTTTTTTTTCTCAACAAATTAATATACATTTTGGGTGGGTGTTTTTATCATTATTAGTATTTTTTTAAATTTTAGTTCATGAATAACTAAGTTGATAGTAAAAAGTAATAATTATTTTGAAGAATTGCAAAGTGGGAGTCTAATTTATTTTTGTGTTTCTGTCAAAAATAATGTTTTCTTTTATATGATATGGACAGATAAGTAGTTTGGTTGAGGGGCTGACCTCTAATTTAAAGAAGAAAAAGGATTTTTATAATTTTGTCATAGATCCATCCCAAGATTCATATACAGAGTAAAATCTTTTTTTTAATTGCAACTTTTAAAAGGCAAAGTTTTAAGGAAACAATAGAAAAATGGAGAAACTGTATATCTCAAACAAAAAGGGTAACAGGCTGTTAGAGCACTGTGTGTATGACAGATTTTACAAATTTTAAATTTTCTCAATTGAATAGAAAGAATCAATAGAGGATAGATGATATCTGCTATTTTGTAATGAGCTTACAAGGAGGTACTATACAAAATAACAAGCAAAAAATGAAGTGCTAAAATTGGTCAACAATATATTCAGTATTGTTCAGACATTCAAATCTCTTCTTTTCAGGGTTAAGTATACACTGATTGCATCCCTACAGAGTTGTAGGGACTATAAAAGGAACTACTTACAGAGTAAATGCTTACCAACTTAAATATAAGACTTACATTTACCTTTTGCCAAACCAAGTAAATGTTTATATACTCAAGTACAAACAACCAATATTTATCTATCAGCAAACTTGCTTGTAGATTCAGATATAAACATCCTTTATTTAACTATTCTTGAACAAAGTAAAAGCTTACAGATTCTAATATAAATGTCCAATATTTATCTATCCCAAACCAACACATGCTTATAGACTCATCTATAAACAACCAATATTTACCTATCACTGAGCCAATTGAATGCTTATTGACTCAAATACGAACAATCAAAATTTTCTTAGACCCAAACCAAGTAAATGCTTAGAGACTCAAATATAAATGACTAATTTACCTTTCTTCAAACTAACCAAATACATTTGGGAAAAAAAAACTGATTTTGACATTAAATAACTGACAAGATTTGACAAGTTGTAAAATCAAGCAACCAACATCTTTATGTATTCAGTGTTGTTAACACATTTTGATTGATTTATCCTTCAACCCTCATCAGGTAACCTGTCAGAAAAAGAAAGTCTTTTGTTCCCAGAAACCTACTAATGACAGATTTGGGGAATAATCTTTATTTAATGGCTACCATCAAGAAAATTGCTAAACTTCCATTTTGACTACAGAAATAATTCAGAAAAGGTGATAAAAAAGAAATATTTACAAAATAATTGCCATTACTTGTGTTTATTAAATAAATAAAACATACCCTTTTTTTCTTTGTTTTTTTCAAGAGTGCCATATACAAATTTTCCAATCTTGTATTGTTTCTTTAAATTTAGTATAGATTTGAATGTTTTAAATTCAATTTCATCAAATTTAGTTTTAATATCTTTAAATTTAGTTGAAATCTAATTTAAATTAAATCTGCTTAAAACTAATTTCTTTGAATTTAATCCCAACTCCATTCTTTCATTTATTTCATCTTATCTGATTAAATCAAGGTATAAAAGCGGGGTAAGGAATAATTTTTTTTCTTTCATGAAATGTTTGATTTCTTTGTGTAAAGAAACTGATGATGATTTGATGTTGTAAGATCATATATTAAAGATATCAGCTCTAAAGAAAGAATTTGGCTGACAGAATTGAAATTCTTGAAATTTATTAGCAGCTTTTAGTGACTGACCTATTTGTGAACTATTTACTATTTTAACTTATTTCTATAATATCCATTGTGCATAGCTAGTCAGTCTTTATATATATATATATATATGTATATATATATATACACACATGAACAAGTGTATGTGTGCGTATATATATATATATATAAATATGAGTATCATATACATATATACACTCGGTATGTATGTGTGTGTGGGTATATATATATATATATATATATATATATATATACATGTATGCATGCATTTGAGAGATTTTGTACATATATATATATGTATGCATGTATTTGCAAGATTGTGCATGTCTGTATATATGAATGTATTTGAATGATTATTCTCTGTGTTTGTATTTAGTGTTTTCTGTGAATGTATCTCATATAACAGTGTATATATTCGTTTTATTCTTTTCTTAGCCTAATTTCATTGTGAAAAATATGATATGTTGGGTAATATTACTTTATACATTATGAATACTTCTACCAGCATACATATGTATGTGTATACATATATGTGTATATATATATATATATATATATATATATATATATATATACACACACATTTATGCATGAATGCATATACATTTTTTATGAGTAATGTAAATTGCGAGAAATATGATCTTGGAATTTGTTAATCGATGAAGAATCATCAATTATTATTAATTTTAACCCGTATTTCTTTCATCTTAAATTTAGTTGGATTTTATTACAACTACTCAGACCATCACCATGCTCATGTATGTAAGCAAAAGCATCACAGATGATAATGACAGGTGTTCTGGGGATGATAATGAATAAGTTATAATGGTGAGATTTGATCTTTCGAGAATGTCATCTTCCATGTCTGGCTTGCTTAGGAAAAAGTGAATGCAAGTTCAAGCCTTGCTGAAAGCTTATTATTCTTTACTTCTGACTTGCACTGTTTACTTACAGCCATAGAATGATGGTTTGAGTGGTTGAGATAAAAAGCAACAGAAATCAGGATGAATGAAATACAAGTCAGAAATTATTAATAATCAAGTGGAAAGCTGTTAAAATAAAACCAAGTTTATTTTTATATTCTTACTTGTTTTAAGATGAAATCGGGAATCACAATTTTAAGGGTATGAAGTTTAGAACTGGTCTAAAAAGAAAATATATGACAATGAATTATGATCTCTCTATTGTAACATTTACATAATGTCATAGTTTCCCACGGTTTTAGAATCTATAATCTTAGTCTGGGCTCATTAACTGAAATCATAGTCTTTCTCTCCTGGCAGATGTTATACTATATGGTCAGAGGCCTGCGAATAGGATGTTTGTGCATTGTTTTGTGTTTCTGATTCTAAGATGTAATATTTTGGTAGAGATAATGTAACAGGTTGTTCAAACAATTCTGAATTGTCAGAATGTGATGCTGCTGCTGCACCTGCTGCTGCCTTTGGTGTTGATGTTGGCTGGGCATCTAAGCTGGATTCAAGAATATAATACTTTGGGAAGGACATTTGGGGGCAGACATCAACCTCGCCATGGGGTTCAGGGTGTGGTAACTGTTGCGATGAGTTTTCTGGATTTTGTTCTAAAACGTAGTATTTTGGCAGTGGTAACTGTACAAGGCAGTCCACCTGACTTGGGTAGTTAAGATCCACTTCTGTTATTGGCTGTTGCGCATTGGATCCATTTCTTCTGGTTTCTGGTAAAGTCCAAGGCTGGGATGGTTTCATGCCAGTCCATTTGGAACTACTTTCAGCAATGTTCCCAACATTTGTTTTGTGCACACATCTGGGAGATAAATTTCTGTCAACTGGGCAAGAGAATCTTTGTTTGATGTGTTTTACATATGTGTCCTGGTTGGTCCATGGTGTATGGGCCAGGGAGTAGTGGGAACTATACTGATCTGAAAAAAAAAATATCATTATTTCAAAAGAGAAACACAACTGACTTGGTTAAAACAAAACTATTTGGTGTTGGGGAATCAGGTATGATATGAAATTTTTATTTTACCCAGAACTGAATATAAATTGCTATAGTTAGGAATAACATTCACAAGTGGTATACCTTCTGGAGCAATCTAAAATTTCATGACAGATGTTTTACCTGATGTGCTGACAGATGAATGAAAATTGGGCAATAGAAATTATGATAAACATTTTTTTGGCAAAGTCTAACCTTCAAAGCTGCAAAAATAAAAACAATGTCTTAAAATGGTGTATAAACCACAGGTGAACTCAGTAAGTGTTGAACAAACACAAATGTGCTTGAGAGACCATCTGCAACAGGGATTTGTTAACTGCACCAGTGTGCCATGTATGCTTGGAAAGGGGTAATGAGACATTATATATATATATATATATATATATATATATATATATATATATATATAAGTTAACAAATAAATAAATAATTAAATAAAATATAAATAAAATAAATAAAAATATAAATAAAGAAATATAATAATATAAAAAATAAAAATTGAAAATAAATAATAGATAAACGAATAAAAATAATAATGTAAAAAATAAATAAAATATAAAAAATTAAAGTAAATATTGAATGTTTTTTTGATGCCTTATAAACATTTTATGGGTTATTCAAAACCAAAACATATTTTGGATTGTAAAAATGTCTTTTTTTATTATTTTTGCAAGTTAACAATTCTTTGGAGATAACTGATTACCCTCCCAGCAATTATGGGGAAAATATGCAGAAAGGGAAAAAATACAGGATGTAACAAACATAATACTGCCTTAGAAACCACAGCAACTTGAGGATCAACTTCACAAGACACTGTATCTTCCTAGCTGCTGGCTGGTTTTCCCATTGCTTTTATTGGCATGAGACATCTTACAAAGATTTGAATCTTAACCAGTTGCAGAGTGGCTCATATCTAGACAGGCAAAGATGTCCCACTGCTAACAAGGAAAACGCAGATGTAACTGGTGCTGACAAACATGTCCATACACAATCCAGAGCATCTTTTGCATCTGTACCGATGGGTATTCACCACAAAGTCCTACTATTTAACCCATCAAGAGATGGATTCATATCATTCCCAAAGATATTTGCTCATAAGTGAATTATATCTGTCTATATTTCCAAGATGAGTTATTTTAACTATTTACACTATTTACATTGTTTGGACTGTTGTCCTCATGTTTATTGTCATATTCACAACATTTTGGCCATTGTATATTCTGGCCTTCTTCAGGTGATATATTTTTTTTTTTTTTTTTAAGCATTTCACCCCAAGCAAGGCAGGAAGCCACTAGGACGCAAGGGGTTACAGAAAATTTAGAGCAAGATCAGATAGGAGTGATAGAAGAAAGGATGAGGGTAGTGGATAGATCAAGGCAACTGGAGATGTCGATTGACATTACACTTGAATAGCTGGAGATTATAGCTCACAGGGAAACAGGAAAAGGGAAGGGAGTTCCACAGGCGAGAGGTGCGAGACATGAAGCTATTAGAGTAGAAGAGATGGCTACATTTAGGAGTTTCGACAGTGAAGGGGTGAGAGCGGGATGCCAGCCTTGTAGGGCACTGAAACTCATGACGTCTGGGAACCAGCGAATGCAGCTCCTCAGAGCAATTTCCATGAAAGTATTTGTAGAACAGACAGAGGGAGGCGACGGCGCGTCTGTGAGAAAGTGACTGTAGACGAGACACCAGGGCAGGGCCAACCACATTGCATATCCGCCTCTGGAGCCTATCAAGGACCCCGAGGCAAACAGAAGGGGCACCAGACCATATATGGCAGTAATACTCCATGCAAGGGCGAATTGTGGATTTGTAGATCTGGAGGATCGACTCCGAGGAGAAAAACTTCCTAGCACGGCTCAGAGAGCCAACTTTCCTTGCAGTGGACGAGGCAATTGACTCAATGTATTTATTCCATCTCAGGTCAGCAGTCAACATGAGACCGAGAAGCCGCAGAGAGTTGCTCTCGAGAAGTTGAGCGTCAGACATTCTAATGGAGGGAAGGGAAGGATCTCTGTGGTGATTAATAGAGAGCAGTTTTGTCTTAGAAGCATTTAAGTTGACCAGCCAATTCATGCCTCAGTTCACAATCGATTGGAGGTCCTTTTCGAGATGATTGGCCAAGCGAGTTTTGTCAACGAGACTAGATTTGTTTTTGAGGCAGGAATAAATTGTGGTGACATCCGCGTAGATGTCAACTTGGGAAGTTATTGCGTCAGGAAGGTCATTTATGTAGATAAGGAATAGAGTGGGACCTAGGATGGAGCCTTGAGGAACACCTGCGTTCGTGGGATAGGAACTGGAGGAGAATCCATTGAGAACGACCTTCAATTTACGGTTTGACAGGAATGATCATATTAGGTTATATAATCGACCCGTAATGCCATAACCTTGGAGCTTGCGAAGAAGGCTGGCATGCCAAATCCTATCAAATGCTTTGGAGATGTCTAGTGCCACGGCTCGGGCTTCCCCGTTATTTTGGAGAGCTCAGTAGACTGTTTCCGTGATGGCCGTAGGTACATCGGCTGTAGATCGGGCTAAGCGGAAACCATATTGCTTGTCTGAGAGCAGATTATGGGATGTGAGGTGGTTAACCACCCAGGTACTGATTAGGGCTTCGAAGACTTTGCCGAAGAGGGGAAGGAGACTGATAGGACGGTAGTTGGAAGGGTCAAAGGGGTCGCTGGAGTTCTTTAAGACATGAACAATCGAAGAGGACTTCCAGCAGTCAGGAAAACAAGATTCCTTGAGGCAGTAGTTGTATAGTTTAGAAAGGGCAAGCGCCAGTTCAGGCATGCATTTCTTCAAGACAATGGCTGGTATCCCGTCTCCACCACTAGCCTTGTTAGGGTCTAAATTGGAGATAATGCCCAGTACCAACGATGGGGTTATGTTTAACCCACTCAATATGGCCTCAGTTCTGAGAGGGAAGTCGGGTATGGGTACACCGGAAGAGTCGAACGTTGAGTTGAATGAAAATTTCCGAGCAAAGCATTCAGCCTTGTCAGTAGAGGAGGTCAGGACTTCGAACTGGTTAAATAAAGGAAGTATAGAGGGTTTGCAATTATTCAATACGCTCTTGCAGAGACGCCAATAATCTTTGGAGCCAAATTTGCAAGATGCAATACATTCCTTCATCCAAGCCGCAAATAGTGACTTAGCATCGTTGAGGACATGCTTACATTCATTACGAGCGGAGGCAAAGAGACGTCTATTGCAGTCAGACATGTCGCTACGGAATAGGTGGAAGTAGTGGATTCCAGCTTTAACTTAGGAAGAGACCACAGAAGAACATTCTTGGACGGGGAGCTTAAAGACTCCATCCCAGGGGACATCGCAGAGGAAATCACGGAATGCGTCCCAGTCAGCTCGTTGATAGTAGAACGAAGTTCTAGTGGTAGGAGGTTCTTTATAGCGGGTGGAGTTAAAGGAGATGTTAACTGATACTACTGCATGATCAGAGTTACCAAGAGGGCAGAGTTGCGAGGCGCTGCAGGATTTGGGGATGGAGGTAAAGCACAGGTTGAGTAGAGAGGCTTTGCTGGAATTTTGAATGGAACCCTTTATTCTGTCCACCAGGGTAGATTGTTCTAGTTCCACATACTATGCCTCTTCTGGATATTTCAGTTTCAGTTATTTCACTTCAGTAACTCAACTGTCCAAGTTTTTGTCCACCTCTGCTTTGGCCAGGTATTGAACTCATAACTCTTTGGGTCAAGTTACTGGATTACTTCCAGTGGACAAAACAAAGGGTTCAGTTTGAAATTCCAACATATAAACACGTAATAAATCATGGCACTTTCAATGTATATTCATCTGAGTAATTTTTTATGTTCACCAAATACAAGTTCCAAGAGGCACTCAAGGTAGACAATTACTGAATAAGTTTGTTGTAAAGGTATACAAGGAAGTAGTAATGTGTGTGTATATTATGATAATATGTAAGAAAAATAATGGTTGATCCTAGATTTGAAGAGATTAAGATTGTAGTGATCAGGGAAGCATTTTTCAGGAGTCTGTTCCACAATCTAACAGAGTATTGGTTCCATATCTCAGCTGACTTCTCAGCCTCGAGTTCAAAAGTGTTGATGCGGTCTTGTAGGTAATATATTTTCTACCTGACCACCTTTCCCCCACAGAAAAAACATTACCAGCCTTTCATTATTCTATTGTTATTTTCATGGCAAATGTTCAGATAAGCTACATTCTTTGGTTCTACCATTTTAGGCATTCACAGCTTGGACATGACTTGCCAGGTACACAGTGTCAACTCATCCAGCTTCTTTCCCAAAACAGTTACATTGTGAAACAGACTACCAAAAAGATGCTTCCCTGATCACTACAATTTAAACCTCTTCCAATATATTCACATAATACTAGTGGTATTCAAAACAATACAGAAATACATATTATTTAGTCAAACTTGAAGAGAAATTAAAAACACTCAAATAAACCCCCTTGAAAATGGCTAAAGAAGTGGACAAAAGCACTTGGAACAATGGACAATGCAAACAATTTTTGCACTCCCATACTTCAATCCAATGCAAAGATGTAACAGTGGTAGAAAAATTAAATAAAAAAATTAATTAAATTTTCCTTGTTTGTCATATTAAATAAAACATTTAAAATAAAGGCTGTTGCTCATATATATATATATATATATATATATTAAGGTGAATCATAAAGTAAAGGCAATTTTGAAATTATGTTGTAAAAATGACATTGGTGCTGATGCATGATATCATATATGCAATTGGTAGAAAGCTATGCACAGCATTTCATCATTCAGTCAAGTGGCAGGGAGAAACAGGGTTAGATGTATGGATGATCCACTCAGTGACTACACCAGGAAACAATGCACTGTAGTGCACTGTGGACAGGAGGAGTCAAACCAGTGGAAATTCATCACCAGAATGAAGCATGTGCCATGAATCAACAAAAGGTGCATGAGTGAGAAGAACACTTAAATGCAGGAAGACAAAAGACAATTTGGTCACCTATCAGCAATATTTAAGAACACATCCAGTGAATGGATACCTTAATGAAGAAAGACTAAAAAACTCTTGTTAGTGCAACTGGCAGCAAGCATTGGCATCACATATAGATCTGCACAAGCTATAGTGCATGATGACTTGGGTGTGCCCTAAAGTTTATGTGTCAGGTGCCCAAACAAGCAAGCAGTGCAGACATGGCTTTGGTATGAAGAAGTTTGTTGAATGATACCAGAAGTGCATCAAAAAGTGATATATGCTTTTGTTGTTTATCAGTGGAAATAAAGGGGTTGTATGGAAATCACTTTTACTTTTTGATTTATATAAACATAAACAAAAATGGATGGTGAAAACTGTTTGGTCATTGAAGTTATGATTTTGGGAACCACTCTCATTCCCTTCATATTCCATTGGTGAAATGTACATTCCACTGAAACAGCTTCTTCCCATGAAGTGCTGCCTTGTGGAACTAACTCCCAAAAGGATGCTTCCCTGAACACTGCACTCCTAACTTGTTCAAATCTAGTGCCAACTGTTATCTTCCACATATATCCCCATAAACTGTGTCTCTTACTCTGTAACCCCTACTTTGAGTGGCTCTTGAGCTTTGTACAGGGTCAGTATCACTGTAAGAAAAAAAAATACTATGTACAAAATATTCAAACAATAATTTATACTGTAGAATTTGAGAGAATATGGGGAGAGATTCATTTGCAAATAAAAGATTAATTTATGAAACTTCTGGACTCTGAACCACAGTTTCATGTTATAACTCTAAATGTCATAAATTTTGAGAAGTTAAAAACATTTTACAAGATGTCTTTTTATGTTCATCTTAAAATATATATATATTAATGGGTGTTAAAACTTCTCAACCTAATCCACTTCCCAAAATCTGACCAAGTGACCATGCACGAGAATATTTTTAGAATCCCTACTTGGCCAGACCAAGAAACTTTTCACCATCAGTCCTCTCCACTCTCTTTTTCAGTGTGCATGTGTGCATATATATATATACATTTTTTTGTATATTACAATTAAATGAGGTAAGAAATGCACTGTAACAGTGAGATAGAAAGTACTTGGGAAATAAAAGTGATTCTCACTGTTAGAGTGCATTTCTTCTCTCATTTGTAATAATTTGTAATATACGGAAAAATATTTGTGAATATGAAAGGATTATGATCAAAATAAGCGAACATAATTTTTGTAACTTATTCAATCAGATTATATATATATATAGTGAGAGTGAAAGAGAGTGAGAGAGAAATATTGTATGAAAATACATGAATGTTTATTATATAAAGCCCATTCTGAGAAATGTAATTACTGACCTGACATCTCTTCTCTGTGTGCTGTGTTTCCCTTGTCCCAGCCATGTTCACTGTCAGCATGAGAGGACAGCACCTCCCTGTGACAGTCAGGATACATTAATGCTGTTCTTTTCCCTCCGGATGTTTCTCCTATTTCCTAAAAATTGAAAAATATAAAAATAAATAAGTATTAGTAATAACAACAACAACTTCAGTACAAATGCTGAGGAAACTATTGTCTCTCTAATATTTAAGCATTCTACCTGAGATTCAAATTAATTTAAATACAGACACAACAGGGTAGAGAAATACCTGTATAGGAAGAAAACCCATGCAGAAAATTGGTATGAAAAGAAATCACTATCAATGCCAGAAGTGAAAAATATATCAAAGTTCTTCAATGTGAAGGAACTGAAATTAAGATAAAAGAAGTAATAATAAAAATTAACAATAACTGGCAATACTTCATCTAATTATAAAATAATAATAGATTGACGGTTTGAATAGTCGTAATGAAAATTAACTGAAATTAAGATGAAAAATATTTGGACCTTGATAGAGAACCGAAAACATTATAAAATATAAAAGTAGTACCTATATTTATTTGAGTAACTGGGACAGTTTTGATGTGCATTACGCGTACTTTGGAAGAACTGAAATCATTCAGTCAACAGAATTATTAAAATCAGCTAGAATACTGAAGAAAATGCTTGTGTATTAAGGAGACTTGCTGTCACTTGATTTCCACCATATACTTGTGTGCAACCTCATTGAATACAAATCATCTGCCTCCTCCTCCTACTCTTTCTTCTCTTCCACCTCCTCTTCCATCTCAGGAGAATCAAAACCAAAATGTGATTTCAGCATCCAAACAAACTGCATTGTTGAGGCCACCAAACCAGGCATCACTGTTGTTGGGAAAAAATGTCTCCTCATCAATGTGGCTGTTCCTGATGACCATAATATCAAAGCCAAGAGCACTTGGAGATGGGGTAATAATTAGCAAACTTGTCTTGCTAGATCAATTATGACTGAGTAGTGAGTTCAATCCTCACTAAATACCCCATACTTTCAGCCTTGTGCCACATTTAAGCTACACTTAGAAAATCACCATAATATCAATGCCAAAAATAACTGGAAATCTTGAAAAGTACACTGACTTCAGGGTTGAGCTTGCCAAAATATGGGACATTCAGGCCACTATTGTCCTAATCAGTGTTGGGTCTATACCACAGAAACTGAAGATCTAAACTAAGAAAATCAGAATAAAGCATAGTAACCCATCAGACGTCTGAGTTACTTGGCTCTGCAAAATTGTTTGAAAACAAAATAACATGCCAGTGAAGAGGAGGAGGATATGGGGGTGGGGATGATAATAATAATAATGATAGGAAATACAAGGAAGAGGTGAAGTTATTCAGATGAGAGCATTATTAAAATCAGCTCAGATACTGAGGAAAAGACTAGAGTATTTGAAAGACTTACTGCCACTTAATCTTCAGTTAAAGCTGCTAGATAGTACAGGTATGAAAATTTAACAAGTTCAAAATAAAAATAATAACAGTAAAAATGCCAATTTAAATATTTTAATTAATTTTACACATGAAATGATGAAGTTAAAATAAAAAGTTCAATATATTTACTTTCCAGATATTCTGCTTAATTTATCCTATTATTATCTCATAATCTAACTTTTGTCAACATAATGCACTGTAATTTGACTGATTGGTTTAAAATATGATCATTGACTACCAATTACCTTTGAAAGGTAACATAAATTATAAATTAAACTGATAAGTTTCTTGAATTTTGATAGCAGAAACAAATGTAATGAAATTTTAAATCTTTCTGGCTTATCTCCCTTGATCTAAAAAATACACTTTGTGACCAATACAAAACACAGGACCATAAGAAATCTATTTTTTCTCTATATTTGGTTATGTTTATATTCATATGAAGAATACCTGTTTATTATTTCTTAACAATATAAAACTGATTTTTCACTTTACATTCTCTATGACAGAAATTTATTTTTTTAAAATTCATTTACTATGGCTGGTACAAAATTTGAAACTATTTATCTTTAAGCTTGGAACTGAAGATCACCTGGTTTTCTGGACCAAGGTTTAAAATATACTTAAAAAATTAAAATAAACAATGTAAAGTTAAGAATTAAGTTGTATTTAACAGATGCAAATATTAAATATAAATTTTAAAATATTTTCAAAATTAAAATTAAATTATTTTTAAAATTAGGATTAAATTCTTTGATTCATATAGATTGGCAATGCAATGTATTTGATTCTAAAAATACATTGAAAATAAAAGAATAGAAGTATCAGTGGTTAAAAATGATTAATATTTTTACTGAAAGAATCCATCCTGGCTTGACTCATTGTCAAATCCTATGTGTAGGTAGTCTGGTGTTTCAGTTTAAAGAACTGAACTGTTAAGCCCTCATACATCATAATTGACAGAAGAGTCCTGACATTTTATATATATATATATATATATATATATATATATATATATATATATATTTATATATTATAAAGTTTTCAACCTGATTAATTTCACAGATTTGATTGAATAGCCAAACACAGGAATTTGTTTTGGAAGAGCTTTTTGGTCAGGTGATAAACTAAATTTTGATTGGAAATATTCACTGTATGTGGTCCTTTGTGGTTAATGGTGGAATATCAGATTAACTGCATTGATATAAAAGGTCACATTGAGAAATGAAATAAATTAATATTTTTTTGTGTAAAATAATTTTTTTTTTTTTTTTCATCATTAGGTTGATATACACATTCATGTATGTACTGGCTGAGATCTCTGAAAGTCTTGTGGGGATACAAAAGGTGATTATCTCCCTTTTGTTGAGATGAAGTCATGATGGCTGCTTAGTGATGCCACTTCATACAGTGATGAAAGTGGTCCGTCCGTCAGTTTCCAGCAGTCAAACAGAGCAGTCGCTTTCCGAGCACAGGCCCCTCAGCTAAATCTGATTCAGCTACATGGTGCAGCTTACAAGCCTATGGCACCATTTTCATTTGGCAATATATTTTCACCAGATATAGAAAGAAACTATCTCTGGCTCACAGACCTCAATTTGGGAAAAATCCAGGACTTGCCATTTCCAGAATATGTTCTCACTAGTGTCATAACAGATGAGTCCAACCCACTCAAATCTGGAATCCTAGTTATAGCTACTCCAGAAACACACAAGAATTGCCAGCAGGCTCAATTCTTGTTGGGAATTATTACACATAAGACTATCATTTTGTTCTCCTCTCAATCTGCTTGTGGTGTTATATTTTCTCTGCATGGGACACATATAAATATGTGCACATAATTTTGCGTATGAATATAAAACTCTTTCTGGGAAAGAAAACATGTTTGCCATTCCTTTTCATTCAGCTATTCAACTCTGTCTGTGAAATAAGGTGTTATTATATAATAAGGGAAATTCAAATAGGAGAATAAACCTTTAGTTCATCCATAGCCTGGCTCACCTCAAGGTGACATGATATCATTTACCTCCATTAGTCTTATTAAAGAAAATAACATTTCCAATAATTTAGCCTGGGAAATGATAATTTCACTGGTTAAAAAAAAGAAGATATCTATACATATTTGTATAACTAGATGTGTATATATATATATATATATATATATAAAATGGGCTGTTGAAAGAAATTTGAGAATTAAAAAACCACAAAAGTAATAATATTGATAATAGAACTAATAATATTTATTGTATATTAATAGGCCTTTTAACAAAATGGAAGCTTATTGAGAAAGATATTGAAAAATTGGAATTTCTGACACACCTGTGTTCTTTCTCAATATGACAAGAAATAAAAAAGTTAAGTGAGACATTTTTTTTTCACATGTGTGAAAGAGATCTAGATATTTTTCTAGTTGTTTGTCATGATTAGTATTGTAGAGGATTTGTAGAAGGCTTTTTGTGGAAATTGTATTCTTTGAGTATGCCTAAATTCATGTTTAAACCTAGAATGTGTGAATTTATTTTAAAAATGCATTTTAACTTGGACTTTTGACATTCTTGTTGGCATTTGAATGAAGACACGAAAAAGACTATAGTTTATTTGGTTGAAATAAGCAGCTACAGTGAATGAAACCAATGTTGTCTTTGATAGTTTTGTTTTTTTATGGTCATTAAACCGAAAATGGAATTCCACACGTTTTAATATGATTTCCTTTTTTGCATTTGTTGCAAAAAAAAGTAAATATATTATATTTGAACTGTCACAAGTTAAAGGAGGATTACTATGTATATGCCAGGTGGTGTAAAAATACTATCAATGATTATATGTTTACAAACTTGGCATCAGGGTTTATTGCATGTTATGTTGCCTTAGTGAGTGGGTGATTTTGTAGTCTAGGAGTTTATGTAGATCTGGAGGTTGTTACCTGCTGTCAATTTAGGTCTCAGTAAATATCTTATTAAGTGTGCAAGCAATGTACTGGAAATCTTTTAGTAAGATATAAGATAGTTTGTGAATGTTGTAATTGAGATAAAAAACCATAAGAATTCTGTAATTTTCTTATTTGTTTTGAAGGTTAGAATAAATTTTTGTTGTGTTTGGAAGCCTGAGTGATTGATTTTTTTATAGTTTTAAGTGGATAAATTCTATTTAGAAAATAAACGAATAACTGTCCTATGTGTATTTTGTAATCTCGATTGTCAGAACAGATATGTCGTATGTGTAAACACTGACTATAGATTATTGATTATTTTCAGTTGGTAGGGGGCAGTTATTAAAATTTAGGTGGCAATAACCATCTGTAGGCTTACTGCATAGTGATGTGGAGATGTAGCTGTTGTTTATCTCTCTCTCTCTCTGTCTATATATATATATATATATATATATATATATATATATATATACACGGAAGCCCAACAGCCATCCCTACTTACAAAAGAATGCTTGAAAGGACTTAATATAAATTGACTACAAAGTAGGAAAAACAAGAGAAAAAAGTAAAAAAAAAAGCGTAGTAAAAAATATATGTAAATTTAAAACCATTTTTTCACCCTTGGAAATGTGATCTGATGAACCAGGTAAAAACCACCTACCTGGGGAAATAAAATATAATCAATGGACCCATAAGGTTGTCTGTTTTCTAGTT